AACATTATAACAACGATCAGAAAAAAGTGTAATACTGGCCCTTTAAACATAACACCTAGAAGAGAGCAAAGTGAAATGGGTATGAAATGCTTCTAATCAAAATCAAAAAACAAAATAGAGAAAAGACAGGCAAAACGTAAAATTTAAAGGTAAAAATATGCCTCAAGTTCAAGATTGAGACATATCTGAACTCAGTCCATCCCAAACATATGTCTGTTACAATTAAAATGCCAGATTATTGTATTAACAACATGTTTTGCATCACTTCCTCCTTAATACTAAATAAATGTTGATTGACACTAATATATTCAGTGATGCTCATTTCGCTGTAGCTGTGTGAGCAGTAGGTGGCAGTAATGCCTGCATACTGAATACACAGGTAAGGTTATGCAGGTGCCGGTTAAGTAATACTGCACATGCTAGTATTGTCAATCCTGGGCTGCACTCTCTCCTGGTACATAGAATATTGATTACACTCCAGCTAACCACTAAATCTATTTGTAAATCTATCACTCAACTTTGACAAATATAAATACAATGCCAGTAAGGTTTCTTAATTTTCTTAATGTTTCAATGTTACCTTATCAAAAACATATCCATAGCTATGTTTTGTTTCATTCACACAAATTCTGCATATTTAGGTTGTGTTCTTCTCTCATGTGGTAATACAGGTAATACACAGTGCTTCACTGTGTTTTTAAACTCCAGGCATCTTCACTAGAATGATTTGGATGATTTCAGTCCTGAAATTGCTGGAATTGCCAGTCTCTACTGAATTCTGCTGAATATTTTGAGCTTTGAAAATGTAGACAGACTAATAAAAAAGGATTTCTCAAACGTGTGAATGAAATGAAACACAACTCCAGGTAAGTTTTTGATGAGGTAACAACATTCTAACATGGCTTAAAGCTCGATTTTTTTGTGTAATATAGGACCTTTAAAGTTTTTTCTCTAATTATAAAAAATCTGTGACAAAAATAATCTACCACTTCACTATCACTACCCCAGGACTGTTGGAGCTGTTGGTTTACGGTTGGTTTCTCTGCTCACACAATCAATTAAACTGGTGTCGGCTGTGAAGAACATGGCATGCTGGATAAAAAAATAAAAACAAACTGCAAACCCACAATGTTCAAGTGCAATGTGTTACTCATTACATCAATTTCTACACATATAAATAACATTGTCTCAATCTGAATTATTAGCGACTGAAAACAGGCTTCAGTCACTGTCTCCTGCTGTCAAGGCAGAACACCATCATTATACAATAGGCACTCCAGCTACAAAGCACATGATTACAAAAACATGCATCAGCTTTACTTTACCAATTGACACCTTTCACTAAACATTAAACAAGTTTATTGTGTGATCAAGTATTTAGTAAAGGTGCACAATGTAACTTTTCTGGAAGGAGGTCCAGTATGACAGAATTTTCCACAGGATAACATTAAACTTATCTCATTTATTCAATTGCAAATGCTTTCAGTGCTCAAAATCACCTTGAAAAACATGCATTCTTACTATAACGGGCCCACCTCTCCACAGATCTGACCAGTAATTTGGCATGATGGTTTCATCTACTTGTCTTCCTGGAAATAGCCGAGTTTAATGCCATATTGTGTATCATTTCAGTTAAAAGAATAATATCTCTATTTAGGCAAGCAGGTGGCGGACTCTCCAGCCAAAAATTTACATATTGCACCTTTAAATCATGCATATTACTTCATCATGCACTTTTGCAGTCACATAATCCAACGTTAAATCTGTTCTTTCCACCTCCCATTGCCTAACATAAAAAAGGATAACCGCTTTTCCAAATCCAAAACTTACATGCATGCCAAAAATACTGCATAAAAAAACTGCCAAATAGTTTTCTGATAAAAAGGAAATCTTGTACTTACCCTAGGCAATTCATGATTTCAGCTGTGACCCATAGCTGACAACTGAAGTGAAAGCGCTAGGAGCAGATAGCGGCACCATCTCGTACACAAGACCCGCCTACTACTGCTACGGCTGCTTCTTAAATTAAGAGTGGGATAAAAGCTGCTGGGGGACCTTGAAGCGTGGAGGAGGCTGGCTTCATTTAAAAGTCAAAGGAAAAAAAGAAATAAAATCGTCTCTGAATATGCAATTATGGATTCCGACTTAAGATAAAAGATGACATTTGTATTGTATTGGCCGCGCATGTAAATACGAATGGTCAATTTGAGCTTTTGAATAATTTATGAGCAATCTGGGTCAAAACCCTCACCTCATTATGGGTAGGAAGAGCAAAAATACCTGCACGCTAGCTGCTGGAAAGAGATCTTAAGAGCGTATTAATAACTTCTTTAAAAGCGCCGTAGTAGTAAGAGAATAAAGACTGTTATTGGCTTAGGTAAGGAGCGCAATCTGTAGCCAAAATGTCCAGGGACTTAGCCAATCAAGTGAATACTGCTCACTTTGGCATGCACAGCCCCACGCCTGCCCAGAACCCTTCAATATGTTGGATACTGGATGGGGCCCAATCAGCAACATCCAATTAACGGAGGCTACTAAATGTGTAATTGGGTCGATTTGCCAAAAGTTGTGGCTTTCTGACACTTTAAGCATCCCAGAGGGTCAGTGTGGATTTGTGCAAGGGTGGCAGATGGGAGAGGAGATAGGGAAAAGGAGGTAGGGGGAGAGAGGAGCCCTAATCTACTCAGCAACACAACAAGCCTATTTACACCATGTGGATCTAAACTACACTGAGTATTTTAACATCATTTCATTTGTCTGTATTACACCTTTTGTTATGTTATAATGTTGTTTCCTCATCAAAATCATACCTGTGGTTTTCATTCACACATGTTTAACACACAATCTTCTCTTAAACAGAAAACACTCCTCGTGATAATACAGGAAGTGCTCCACCGTGTTTTCAAACTCCATGTACCTTCACTAGAATCATATGGATAATTTCCACCCTGGAAATACCAATCTCTACTGAGCTAAAGGTAAAGCAATAACTGTGAAAACTACTGCTTCATGACATCACAAGGTGGTATACATATTGAAATGTAGCCAGACTAATAATAAAGGATTACTCAAACATATGTGAATGAAACAAAACACTCTGAGTATGTTTTTGATAAGGTAACAACATTATAACTTGGCTTAAAGCTCACATGAATCCATTTTGTGTAATACAGGACATTTAAAAGCAAATACTGGAGGCTGAGTAGATGGTAGTTAGGAACTTAATTAAGTTTGTAGCAGGGTTCACAGCTCTATGGTCACAGTATTTGAGTTCAGCTGATTGCCTGTCTGAAAATATGCTCTATCCGTTTAGCCACAAAACTTTTTAGCTCCTTTAATGATAGCTTATTAGAAAAATAAGTAACCACTACACTACCACTGACACTGACACAGAAGGACTGTTGGAGCTGTTGGTTTAAAATTGGTTGCTCACACAATCAATTAAACTAGTGTCAACTGTGAAGAACATGGCATGCTGGGTAAAAAAAACTGTAACACTGAAAGCATGTTCCAAGCAGGAGTCGAATATCTCAACGTGCCCAGCCATTCGAAAATGCTAGATGTCCCTTCTTGATACTATTCTTATCTAAGATTGGAACTAAGTGAAAAATAGCAGCTTTAATTCCACTGTGTTTTTTCAAAACCATAGTGAGTCATAACCAAATAAACAGACTATGAAAACAAGCAAAAACCCATAAGTGAAGTAACCTTGATGCTAAGTTAAAATAAAACCGTAAATAACAAAGTAACACCAATGCCATACAGTTTAGTCAGTTTCCAAGCTTGAACATATAGGACCTCAACATGAACTGCCAGACTGTGAAGAGTGAGTCACAAGCAGGTGTCTTGTGTATTTCTGTAAAAATGACTGAGATTTTGTCATTCTCACTCTCTCTTTCTCTTTCTTTCATACTGTCTTGTTCTCTCCATTTTAACAGTCTTACTAAAAACTGTGATTCTCAATAAAACATGTATAAACTGAATGTATGCAGCACAGAAAGACTATATCAGAAGTTAGCTCTAATTGCCCTCTTAATGTGTGTAACAAGTGTCAAACAACTACATCTTGGATGCCCTCTGGTGGTTCTAATGAAAAATTACAGATAGAACATAATTCCTAAAGCCCTTACATAAAGATGTAAAACTGGAAAATGTGAAAAACTTAATAAAAAAATAAATAAATTGTGCTTTGCTACAGGCTTATCAATGAAGAACGGAGAGCAAATTCATTCAATTCAAAGACAACATTAACACAAGTAGCATACAAAGTAATAAATAAGCATATATACTTTTAACTAAAGTTACCAGCCTTAAATTTTCAGTGCAGGCTGATATTTTGTTTACACCAACCAGCTTCGAAAAGAGTACACACAAAGCATTATTTGAACACTTTAGAGCAAAGAAATAATTGCACAGAATGTGACTACACAGCTCTCTTTTTGGTTTGTGGTAAAAAATGGCTGTGGGTGACTTTGTAATAAATTTACATTATATATGTTGGCAAAAAAACAAATCTGCCATACATATCAGCCAAAAATATCGACAGAGCTTATCGGCCATCAGTTCCTCTGGATTCTAAACAATCGGTATAACTTTTTTTAAAAACATATTGGTCTATCTCTAGTGGGTATTGATATTTTTGACGACTCTATGTGCATATTAAAATTAATAAAAAATTAAAGACTAATACTAGTTCAACCACTGCAAATAGTTCTAATTCAGCCAAGCCCTACTTTTCTAGAGTTATTTATTTGAAAAGAATTGACCTAAAAGAAATGGCCTTATTTACCATCTTCAACTTTGGGTGACAGTCAGACAATAATACTGTCTCATGGCTCAACAGACAAGCATAAAGACGTATTACTGCTTACTAAATAAAACATACAAGCCTTTACGAACTCTCTTTCCTACTCATCTAACTCTGTATAGAGGTTACTGCAGCTGACCCCAGAGTGTAATCTGGTGTAATGTGATCTGTAGTGTCTTCTAGTGGCTCTCACCTGATACTGGAGAGGAGCTGCCGGTGCTCGTCCGTGCTGAGTATTTCGGGGAGGACGGACGCCAACCAATCCACTCTCTTCTCTGCAGCGTACTGCTTTAACACCGCAAACAGTCTGTCTTTTACCTCTGGGTCATCGGCTAAAATCTGGTCAACCTGGTGGAGAATTCATAGTGATGGTCATGTATGATTCAGAAAGTAATTCAGTATATTTGTTTACTGTACCAAGGATCCAGCCCGGTCCTTGTTTCTGGCCTACATCATCAGAGGTATAATACTCCATATAATCGAAGACTTGAATAGGCTATACCACAATTTGTTACGTGTCCATGTCTCTGAGTCTCGTACTGATGCTAAATGAACTGTGTTTATTTAGCATCAGTCTCCTGCTTCTCGTTACAACTCTCGAATGACTTTAATTATTTCAAAAACATTTGTAACCAGGAAACATGATCAAATAGTAATAATACAGAAACTGTCTTGCAAAATACATGCATTCTAATATCATTCTGTCTAATTTGTACAGTGAAGTGCAAAACAGAGCAACGGATCATAATGATTTTAGGTTCTTACTAGGTTCTTACATTACAAACTATGTATTTTCAGGTCAAGAGTTTATCAAATTTCATCAAATTATTCAAATTTAGTAAAAGTCCATTCAGTTGCACAGTGTTCCTAATATTGCATGATCCCTACAATAAGTTTACTCAGACCTTTCTATTGAACTCAAGAGCCTTGTGCTTCCTGTCCATCCTCATCCCATCTCCCATCTGACTGTCCTCGATGCTGATGCTGCGTTTCTGCCTTGGTCCCAGACAGAGGACCCCCAGGCGGAGAGTCCTGCCCTGGGAGGACTTGATGAGTGCAGCAGCTGTTTCGTGTTGGCGCACTGGGATGCCGTTGACCTCCATGACATAGTCCCCGGCCCTAAGCCCTGCTCTGCCTGCAGGGGAGCATGGAGAGCAGTCCTCCACTAGCAGGGGGCAGTCTCCCACGATGGTGAAGCCAAAACGACCATCTGGACCTGGGATGATGTCCATCTTTGAAGTGAGAAAATATGGACTCGGTAATTAGTACAAGTGTATCTGATAATGTTTCTTACAAATGCTTAACCTTGACTGTGTAAAATCACAATATTAGTAATAAGATAACAAATGGTCTCCTTTAGGCCTATCACAGTAATTACTACAGTATATAGAGTTAACGTTCAGTATGTGAGGTATGGAATAATTTTTGGGGGTTGATATTTATTGTGGGCTATAGCTTCTTTGCTACAGTTCTTTAGTATAGGGTATAAAGAAAAACAGAAACAAAAATTGAAAATGCTTAACTTACCTGGTGTATGCGTGACACCACTCCAATACTGGGCGGTATGTTCTTCTGTGTCTGGGCAATGGCAATGACAGCCTGTGGGGGCAGTGTGGAGACATTGTGGCCTTCGATCTCCAGCACCTGGTCACCCGGCTGCAGCCCGGCCAGGTGAGCACTGCTGCCCTCCTCCACAGACAGGATGTAGCTGGGCCCGCCCCCTCCCAGCTGGAATCCAAACTCCTCAGGCCAGCCCTGATTGGATGTCGGCATGCTGAGAACTTCAAGCACAGCAAGATCAGTGTTGACCAATAAAAGCACCATTGGAGGGAATTTAAAAAGTGAGCTTTCAAAGGTAGTAGGAGTAAGAGGTTTACATAAAAATGTACAGCACTAGTACTATTAGAACATAACCAAGTATTATTAATACTCTATTACTATTCCACTGCACTAACACTCTTAAAGCTCCCATCTGTAATTAGTTTGCCCAACTCACCTCTATTGTAATTCTCATATATCACCACTAGATGCTATCAACATTACTTCTGTCTGATAGCGTGTCAACTTTGGTCTGAAGACCACAGGTGAGCATGAACCAAGGCCAGGTGAGGGGAGGGGTGAAGGGGGGGGGGCACTGACATCTACCGGTAAAAAACAAATCAAATGAACTTACAGATGGAAGCTTTAACTACAACTTATCTATGGCCCTCATCCATTATTACAACTACATTTAATAGTAACAATAAAACTACTCACCCTAACTACTGCTACAACCACTACTCCAGTTACACCTTCTTGCATTTCAACAGTAAAACATTTTCTTATTGAAATCATTCTGGTCATTGTTAATTTACAATTTTAAATGCATGCATCTTATAAATAATGCCCAAAATATTTACCTAATTAACACTCCCACATCTTACATTATATAAAACATTGGGATTAGAAAACCTACCTGCCTTTACAACCAAATTCAAGTCCATTTGTAACAGATAAGGGTGCTCGTCTGTGCATGCCTTAAAGGAAACGTTCCTATCACAGCTCCCTGCCACTAGTGCCTGCACAGGAGGCTCTACCCGGTGAGGCTCTGTAACCCCTCTACCCTGAACCGTGACACACTCAGCACTCATGGCCTGGTTCACAAGCTCCAAAGCAGCCAATCAAATCGAAGCATCGCAAAAAAATGGTGACCTTAATTAGCTTAGAAAGATGAACATTCCCACAGCAGACTTTAGGGTGCTGAATGACTTTGTAATTATGCAAGCAAAACCAGAGCACACTGCACAGCTGATGGTAAAACACAGAAGCAGCACAGATCATGGAAAGCTTCAGTCACCTACGGAGCTCAGATTAAGCCAAAATGTTAACCTAATTCAGATTTCAGAATTAAGATTATCCCAAAATTTGTTATCTTCAAGACGGAAACTATGAATGGGCTACAGTCCCCCCAGTCTCGATTCATAATAGGATTTACAAAGACATGTCAAAGCTGATAAAAGACTTACATAAATCTTTAGATGGATATCGAAAGCCACGTTTGCTTTGCCGAAAAGAGTACCGGCCTTTTCGGTTTTGCAAAAACTTCTTCATCTTCAATGTCAGATAGTAGACAGCCCTATTAGCAATCCTCTCTGTCAAATGCAACACAAGGAAAAAGATAGGTGCCCCCCCAGACCGCCCACCCGCACCCCACGGTCAACACTCAGAGCACTGTCCCATTCTCGCACCACTCAGAAGCCACAGCAGTCCTCATGAGCAAGAGCGGGGCGTGTGCAAAAAAAGCCGGTGCAGCCTCTGTGAGTGTGTCAAGGAAGTTGCATCTCATCCCTGAATCATCGTTGGGGCCAGATTGAGCTGCTCAGTGTTAATCAGAAAAACTGGGACACGTGCACTCGAGCACCTCCGTTCCTTAATACTTCTCTCTCCAAAAAGGGTATTGTGAGGCCTCATTTTTCTATAAATACACCGATGCGTCTCTCTCCCCTCCCTTCCTCCGCCGCTGGTGAGATGGATCTCCCAGGGACCGCTCCTGGCCCAGAATCGCTCCACGCCAAGATGGAGCGGTGAGGGCTAATTGGAGCGCGTGTGTCTGGGATGCTGTCAGCCCCACTGCAGTTACTACTCGAGTGTTGAGCCCATTGAGAAGGAGAGGGGGCAATCTAAGACTCAGCCTGTGGGATTAGTAGGATTATGGGCTCCATCTACAGCACTCTTACATCCACTTTGTGTTATTAATACTCGGACAACACATGCTCCCCCAGACAGGCAGGTAATGTGTGGTGACACTGTCAGGACACTGTCATTGTGCATGTAGCAATAGGTTATGTTCATGCTGTAGTGAATTTCAATAGAATTTCAGATGGAGAGCAGGGGGGTAGGCCTTTGGGGAAATATGTTGCTACAGAGGAATATCACGATAAATAATAATATTGAAACTACTTTTCCTGATGACACAATAAAAAATAAAGCCGGATAAATCCAGTGAAGCATTTTTTAAAATACAGTATCATTAAATACCATGAGCTACAACAAATAAACAGCAGAATGAACAAATAATTGATCCTGGAAATCCCTCTACAACTCAGATCTTACCATATTACATAAAAAATAGCAGAAACCCCAAAATATATTGATCCAGCTTTTATCTGTTGAACAAAAAGTCATTATAGTAATTATTGTGGCAGGCCTAGCAGGGGTCTATATAATTCCATGGGAGATTACTTTTTTTTCAAAAAAATATCCAAACATATAATTCACAAATGCTGAACACTTTTATTTGTTTTGGGATTGGCTCCCCAAACTTGCTGTATTAATCTTATGGTTAAAAATTCAATTAAAGTCAATCTTTATTATGAACACATAATATTTGGTTCATAGAATAAAAAATAAAAAAAATTTAAAGATGAAAACAATTTAAATATACAGTGCATGTTATAATGTATACAGATAAGACCGCCAGTGTCTCCACAGCCTAGAGGTGAATCTGACAGAGCTCCTCACAGGACACACTAAAGCTTGAAAGATTTGATTGTTCAGATTCATAGCTCTGCACATAAATTAAAGTCTTTTCAACTGACAACATCACGTTTTGGTCACCAAGTTAGTGGTACCACTTTCTGCAGCTAGTGTGGCAAAATATTATTTCACTTCTGTTTATTTATGCTGACAAAGAAGACCTTGAACTTTGTGTCAAGTTTTGTTTCATGTGGATAGTCTCAACAAGGTCAACAAATCTGCAATCAAAACAAATTCCACCATATTCTGGCCTGTCATCAATTTTTAATTATACGGATTCTAGAGAGCTGTGATCTCTCCTAAATACATCCTACTAAAGCCAGGACATAAGATAGCACTTTTAACCAAAGAAGTATTTTATCTATTGTACAAATATAGTGCAATTAGAATGAGTGGACCCTAAGAAAGACTTTATGTACTCCATTAGAGGCCTTAGGTTTGTATTAAAAGAACCATTCACACTCTTAGCTCCAAGCTATAATCACATTAAAATAGATCATTGCTCCCTGATTCATTTAAGGTCAAATGAATTAACAGCATGTCCATTTCAGTGCATGTGTACAAGTTGGTTGACAACTAGTTTGATTAATGCATTGATTTACTCCAATAGATGGCATGAGGATAAGCAGGATCAATCCATCTACAGAAATTGGTTTACAAGCTATTTTAAAATGAAAAGGGAATATAAATGTATACAAAATCTATTTCATTTAGAACTGAATTTAGAAAGACAACATTTTGCAACAGATTTTTGCCCCCTGACTAAATAATTAAGGCAGTACTTTTGCTTGAAAGAGGGTTTACTCTTCCAAAGTCTCCTCTAACATAGTATATAACCCATAAAATTATTCAGGTGAAAAGATAAACATATGGGGAACCGTCACTTTACAAACATTTGCCCAACCTTAAACTGCCACAGTGAATTTACATCCAGAAAGATTCAAGCCCAAACATCTGATGCATAGGCTATTTGTTCTTAAATGTATGAGAGAAAGGATCTGAATTTAAAGTTGAATACTGACACAGAGAATATGTGTACATCCGATCATGGACATTTAAAGAGCATCTGAACAGTATATGTAGAACTTGTACTGATAAACCTTGAACCATCCACAACAGTCCAAAACACTAAGCACCCATCCTTTACCTTTTGGAGAGACATCCAGAGGTATGCAGGTAGATCTCCTGAGTACTGTTCCCCTCTGCAGCACTGTGATCTGTAATATGAGTGTTGGCCCATTGAGTCTGCAACCGGATCCAGCAGGAGTCTTGTGGAGCCTGGCCAAAGCCTATAGAGTAGAGAAAGGCAAAAGAAACACAGTTATTGACCATTGTTTTGTCAGAATGAATCTTAGTGTTTTACCCAAAGCACTATTAATAGCCAACACCCTAGCAGAATAGTTGCACACAAAGTTAATGGCAAGTATTAATGATATTTTTAGAATATAACATCTAAGGGAAAGTCTTAGAAGCTATTCCTCAGTGGTGAGTACTATAGCTTTGTCTCCATAACAGTGAGATTATTCATTTTTGCTAATGTTTGATAGACACAGTAAGTCAACACGAACATTAGCAGTGCTGGATCTACAATGAGCTAACTTCATTAAGCCACGTGACAGTGTTATGGATCACATACAAATTTAATTTAAAAAATTAAAAAATATATCTGTACTATATTAATTTCACAATATATAAAATATATAAAAGTTTACAGCCTTTATTCTGCAGCTCAAATCATGCAAATAATTAAATTCTGTTCAAACGTGTACATCCAGCTGGGGCCGCTAGGGTTGCCTGACTATCTGTGCAGCTAGTTAGCAACATTAGCTAAAGTGATGCTAAGGAAGTGATTTTATTGACACAACCTGGGCATGGAGCAAGTGGGGCTGATATGCTGTGCTTTCGACAGAGAAAACTAACAGTGTCAGCGTGAGATATGACTTTAGAAAGGGGCTATGTGTGACTCCTCTTAAAGGTACTCAGATAAATGTATTTCAAAAGAGCGATATGTGATTAGCTAACCTTTGGAAGAGGAATGCAATGGTGGAGGGCTTACATAGAGATCTTATAGAAAAGTTGAAAACTGCACAATAAAACGAACAGAGGAGACTTATTATAACCTATAAATTGTTCATTATTTCCATTTTGTTTTGTGCTTGCCCTAACACAGGCTACATTATGGATTTCCTCACTTTATTTGCCATTTACGTAGTTGTGGTACTGACATGTATAGTCCTTGTCTGTAAATATTCAGGACAGCAGCAGTCTCCTCTCACCGTCCTCTTGGACAGTCTTGCAAAGGTAAAACAATAAAATCAAAAAATTATCACGGTAATTCAATGGGCGACCGCTATGTGGCGATGCTGCTAATCAATACTAGAATCAAATCTTTCTTTTTATTGTTTTGATAGATATTTGGACCAATTACACCTAAATGGCTCCAAAGGTTTTCTCAGAGGGCTATGCACAAGCTCTTTCACCAAAGGTTTGTTTAATCTATAGTCAATGCATTTATTATAGGCCTATATATTTTTAAAAGTGTATTTGTTTTGTAATCGTAGAAGCAACATGTTCATCTACATTCATATCCTGCTGGAGGTAGCGGTGTATGCAGAGTTTACATATGAGGTATTTGGATACTGTCAGGAGATGGACACTACACTGGCCAGTCTGTCTGTGCCTTACATCCTTTTAGCTTTAAAGACATTTTTCTTCTACCTCTGCATTAAAAGAGATCCAGGTAAGCCAGGGTGTGTGCCAACACTTTTGAACTTGTTTGTATGATTTCTGACTGTTTTCTCCCCAACAGGTACAGTGACAAAAAAGAAAGTTGCTGGTCAGCTTCATATCTACCGATATGACAGTCATCTGTTTCACCCTGGAGTCTCCTGTCCAACTTGTCAACTTGTCAAACCTGCTCGCTCTAAACACTGCAGTAAGTGTATTTGTTCCCCAACTAGACCAGGGGATTGATACAGCAGTCATTGGTTGTTTGCCCTTGATTTTATTTACAAATGTTGTCCACTTTTCTAGGGGTCTGTAATAGGTGTGTTCAACGCTTTGACCACCACTGTGTCTGGGTGAACAACTGCATTGGGTCTCAAAACACCCGCTACTTCCTGCTATATCTCTTCAGCCTGAGTGCTATGGCTGGTGACGTTGCCCTCCTAACGGCAGACATGCTGTTACATGCAGTGCTGAGGTCAGGACTCCTGCACGCCAGTTATTTAGACGAGAAAGGCCAGCAGCAGCCAGCAGGGCTTCTGTTTGTTGTGCAGGTGAGATGTAGTTCTGAAATGGTTGCCCTACAGTATTCCAATAGGATTGTTGTACAACTATTGCAAGAAAAGTTGTGATACAATTAAAGTAGCTTGTGTACTATATTCATGCATTATACTAAAATACAGTATTCCTTTTTTGTTTGTTATAGCATCTTTTCCTGACATTTCCTCGAATTGTTTTCATGCTGGGTTTCCTGATCTTCATCTTTTTCCTGCTGGCAGGCTATGCGTTGTTTCATACTTACCTTGCTCTTATAAACCAGACTTCTAATGAATGGTACAAAAGTCGAGGATATGTTTGTCAGCACTGTCACCCAGCAACTGCTGACCGCATGTGCAGTGTGTCATCAGACCACTCCAAAAGACACTTCTACAGCAGAGGGCTTCTACAAAACATTGGAGAGATTTTCTTCCCCCCACAGCCTGTACACAAAAAAGACAACTAAGACACATGTGAGGCAACATTTATAGAGTTTACTTTCAACAAAAGCCAAGACCGCTGCACTTTTTGAAATAAAGTCAATCTTTAATGAATGTTGTAATCTGAAATGGACTCTATGGTTTCTGAACACTTGTTTTTTAATAGTATAGTTGCAGCAAAATTACAGGTGCTAAAATGTTCAATATTTTTCCTGACATGTATATTTTTGTTTGTATTTTTTAACTATAAAAGATCACTCCCACACAATGCCTGAATTTCTGATTAGGCTGTAGTACAAACCAAATAAATGTAGCTGACTAAGTTAATAAGCACCAGTGTGTTTTCCTACTTTGCAATCCAGGTATACATGTTATAGGCTAGAGATAAAATTTAAAATACCCTTTAAAACTACAGTAAAATAAACTTTGCCAATCTGTTGCTATCACTGATTCATATATACTGTTTCTGTGTATTCGATCTGTACCCTGTATCTAGTTCTATAGGAACGAGGGCGGCGCTTCATTTGATGACTGTGCCTTTAAGCCGGTGCGGAAGTAACTTTGTGGGGAGAAGGTCAGTCCTTTTTAAGTGGATTTTGACAGCGGATGAATTAAATCAAGTCTGGAGTCTAAAGCGTACACTTCATCACCATCAGCGTGAAAGGCACTATAAACTTGATAATGTCAGGGACCAAATGCACGCGACTGACCGGGACGCTCATCAAACAAGTGCTGGACTCTGTAGACAGCGTGTTGTTTGATTGTGACGGTGTGATCTGGAGAGGAGACCAGGCTATTCCCGGAGCGCCAGAAGTCATAAACCTCCTCAAGAAAAATGGCAAGAAAGTCTTTTTCGTCACCAATAACAGCAGTAAAACACGGAAGCTGTATGCGGACAAAATGTCCCTGTTGGGTTTCAACGTGACTGAGGAGGACGTATTTGGAACCGCGTATTGCTGTGCCATGTACCTCAGGACGGTATGCAAGTTACAGGGTAAAGTGTACCTCGTAGGCAGCAATGCTATGAAGCAGGAGCTGGAAGCATTTGGGATCCAGCAGACTGGGGTCGGACCCGACCCTATCACCGGGAAAAATGCAGACTGGGCCAACGTTCCGTTGGACCCCGAGGTGAAGGCGGTGGTAGTCGGCTTTGATGAGCATTTCAGCTACATGAAGCTGAACCGGGCCATGCAATATCTGAACCAGGGTTGTCTATTTGTGGGGACCAACAGGGACACCAGGCTGCCCCTTGAAGGGGGCAAGGCTGTTCCAGGTAAAACTTTTAATAAAAATACCTAAAATAAAAACAAATCATTGAGTTGAATGTTAAGAAAATCTAATTATGCTCTATTTAGGTACTGGATGTCTACTGCAAGCAGTGGAGGCAGCTGCCCAGCGCCAGGCCCAGACTGTGGGCAAACCAAACCAGTTCATGTTTGACTGCGTTGCCTCTCAGTTTGGTGTTGAGAAGGGGCGCTGCCTGATGGTTGGGGACCGCCTGGACACAGACATCCTTCTAGGCTCCAACTGTGGTCTGAAGACCTTGCTCACCCTTACCGGGGTCAGCACTGTGGCAGAGGCACAGGAGCATCTGAAGAGCGGCTGCACAGACAGGCAGGGCATGGTCCCTGATTACTACGTGGAGAGCATTGCAGACCTCCTGCCTGCTTTAAGGGAATAAAACCTAGAGTGGAAACAAAGATAAACACAAGTAAACTAGTCACTGACAAAAAGTGTCAGGAGACAAGACTGTACAAAATCCCATTTTAAATTAATTGTTGGCAGTACTCCCAAAACTAGAATTTTAACAGTTAATTCCAGTATTATGAAAACAGTTCAATTTAATTTAGTTATATTTGGCCAAAGAGATTATAGTTGATGGCGAAAAGCCATTAACCCTTCTTTTTATGATGCAATATTCTGAAGCAACTCAAAGTCAAACTGAAGGAGGAAATGAATTCACAGTTTGCAACAGAGCTACAAAAACAAATGGACTTAACAGCTGAGCTAAAGGAACTGGACTTGAATACATGAGCTGTCTTTATGTGTGTGTCATATTCATTTATGATGGTTTTCTACTGCTCAAGTTCTTTTAAAGTTATATTATGTAAATGTGCAGATCTATACTCAACACAGGAATTAAAAGTTCTTAACTGTTTGTGCTATTTATTATGTAATATTACCCCCAGCTAACACATAATGATCTGAAATCTATGCTGAATAGATTCATGTGATGCTATAACTTGTTTCACCCTGATTTTGACCATTTCAAATAAGTTCACAAAAATAAATATTCATATTATACATATTTATTAATGAAAAAAAATCTATGAATACGATATATGCATTTGAATGTGGATTAACCCCAACATTCCACCAATCCAGAAATATTTTTTTCTTTTTTCTAAAATAATTTTCTCCACAACACCTTTTAAATAAATATGCATGTCACTACATGCAAGGAGGTCCTTGAAAGTAAAATTTTGCTGCCTAAGTCACCTTGTACTGTCATCACCTGGGTGCCCAAAAGTCCATATAATATTTCCTCTGATGAGAGAACCTTTCCAATCTGCGCCTGCTCCAGCTCTTTGTCCATTGTTCTGGCTTGGACATGAGGCCAATTGCTCTCATGTTTGTGCATGTTTGAGAGGTGAGGAAACAGGGTCCATAGAAAGACAAGTGATGCTGAAGGAGTTGCCATGACAGTGGGTGAGGAAGAGAGAGGGAAGTTGCAAGAAGACTAAACTTGGCAAGATGTCATAGATAAGTGTAAAGCAGGTGACAGATTTGAGGAGAAGCAAAAAGACTCTGGTTGGAGGCAGAGGAGGAGGGGGCCTGCGACGAGACACAAGCAGGTGGGGGAGGTCTGAGGGGACAAAAGATAGGCTGGCCAGGTGGACTGGATCTCAGTGTGCGGCGGACATGATCATTGCCCCATGCCGTTAGCTGCAAGAAGAGAGACAACCGAGTGAGGAGCTGAGACGGGACGCAGGATGGTGAGGTGCTGGAAACATTCACAACATCATTTGGACGAGGCACAGTGCACGGTAAGAGGTTATGTTTAAATTTGGGGTATTTTTTCTATCTACCAGGAAATGTCAACATCTTAGAATAAGTGTAAATATGTTGTGATATCATCATTGTGATTATTGGTTATGGAATATGTGTTGCTGTTTCCTCTTAGGGGTAAACTATCCAAGAAGAGTTCAGAATTGGCTGTAAACTTAAAGCAAAATATACAGATATACTGATTAGTGTCATTACTACTTTTTCAGGATGGGGACCCAGCTGTTCCTTCTCAGTTCCGCTTCCCCCACAAGGCATTTTGGCCCAGTCTCACTGCAGTTCTGCTCCTGTTTATCCTTGTCTTTGGTTTAACTGGACATTTCAGGACATCACAGCCATCCACCCAGGTGTGCCCAATGATTCAAAACTATTTGAAATGTGAAAAGCTTAGGTAACCGTTAATGACTTTAGTCTCTACAGATTGTAAGATTCTCCTCTCCAGATCCAGCTGGCAGAGTTGTCAACCAATCAGCAGTTGTGGACCCGGAAAATGATATAGTGACATTTTATCTAATATCACCAGTTAACGAGAGATCCACTGTGCTTTTTGATATCAGACAAGTAAGTCCATCAGCTCCAGCTAGACGAGTTTGAGTGTTTTAATACATTTTATGCTCCATATGTCCATGGATTAAGTTCTTGTTATTGAAAAAAAATTGGGTGTATTTCCAAAAGCATGACACTTTTTCCTTTTAGGGTTTGATATGTTACAAGCCAGTACACCAAAAGACTTGCTTCCTGCAAAAGATGGAAGAGTCTGACTATGACAACGTACGCTCCTTCCTCCTTGAGCCAAAACAAAAGGTAATAGAGGCTGACATTTCAGTCCTGATATATAGTTTAATGGACAGTCTGACTCATTTAAGAAATATGACACTACATAATAGAGTAAGCGTTGGGGTTGACCTTTTAGCTTGGCCAAAAGTCTTCCGTGTTCAACCTGGCCTTTTTAATGGCGAGTCATACCCTTATCCCCCAAAGTGGTGCCCCACTGATCCTTCTAAGTTTCATAGGTTTTGCATGACTTGTTGGTCACTTGGTACAAAGAGAGAGGTGAAGCATACAAGACCTTAAGAAGCCTTTTCGTCTATGTAGCCGGTTCCTTGGCTCCCTTAACTTGGTCTCTACAAATAAATTCCTTGGCACATCTGATCCCTTCAGCCCCTCTGCACAGGATCTTCTTACAGGACGCAGCTCACAGGACTGGAGCTTTGGAGTGGGCACAATAGTCGCTCTGTGTGAGGGCTTTATGGCCACTACTACTGTTGAATTAAAAGTCTTTGGTCAGAGAGGAAACACTGGTTTTATGGCCATAAGAGCAAGTGTTTTTTGTTTATTTTAATGGAACAGTGCATATTTTGATCAAACAAGTCTCAGATAAATTGGTTTTAGATAGTTTCCATCTGTAGTCAGCACTCTAAGAAATTACTCTCAATGCATAGATTGTTATTATGCATTTCAATATTAAGATATCTCATAACATTTCTAGCAAAATTATCTTACAGCGTCAGCTCAGTTATAATGTTGATAAATTATCTTCCAGATGATAAAAAATCTGTATCATGATGTTATTTGAGCCATTCAAGTGTAACAGCAGTTTAAGTGGTTCACTATCTGAGCCAATCACAAGTGTAAGTGGTGCAATTACACCAAGGCTTTGTGATGAATAAGAGCACAAATGTGAGGCCTTGTTGACCTCGTCCACAAAGTCAGTCTAATAGCTGCTCACGTTTCAGTTCAGCTCAAACACATCTTGTTGTACTCATCTTTTTTTTTTCAGCTAGGGGCTGCATGTGGCTGTCACATAACACTGGGTTTGTCTGTGCAGGCTCAGTACCATCTAGTTGTGAATGAAACTCTGAGACAGACAGAGTTTCTAAGTGTTGTGGGATCAAGTGTGGTGGACATGTCCACACTGAACGAACCACTGCAGCAACTGTGCCAAGACCGATCTGTTCACTGGACCAAGAAAACTGATGGTAAGAACTAAAATGTGTGAACACAAAACCAAAAATTATATAGACAAAGCCTAACATGATGACAATATTATATTTTATATAGCTCTTATAGACATACATGCTTTGATGTGAGTGCTGTAAGGTCATTTTAAATAATAACTGGAAAGGTACCAAACAATGTACCTTTCAGGTACCCCATACCAGAAAACAGGTATTGTCCAAATACTCATATCTGAACAAAAAGAAGTAACTTTCAATTCTGAAAAGATTGACCAGTGAATTCCATGTCTTCTCCGTTTACCATGGTTTTCTGGTAAATGTAAACTGCTTTTATTAATTAAAAATGATGATCTAAAATCTTTTTGCACTGGTTTAAAACTATTTTTCCTCAAATAATAAAGATTGTAGTAGAAAAAAGCTCACCTAGTGGAAAAATTATAAAATGTTAATGCAATTTTTACATATTGTATATTGCATAGGTTCTTTTATAATGGTCTTTCTCTGTCCTAGGCCCAGGCAAACAGAGGCTAGTTTACTTCTGCATTGACATCTGCTTCCCCAGCAACATCTGTGTGTCTGTGTGTTTCTATTACCTGCCAGAATGACATTCCCTTCTCATCAAATAACAGAGACAAAGTTACCTTTTCAGGTACTTTTACAAAAAGAAGGAAGTCTGTAAACAGGCAAGGCGGTGTATTTCAATGCTTCTGAGAGTGAAGTGCTGGAGACAGGCTGTCACAGTTATCACCAAAGCCTTCATCACTCCCTTCATGGGTTTTACCTGCTCTGGTAGCACGCTGCACAATTACATGGGAGAAAATCCCTTTTCTACATGCCACTAACTGTATTTTCTGCAAGTCATTATGTGTAGTCATTTTTACTGTGTGATGTTTGCTCTTAATAAAAGGTTGTAGTATATCAGTTGACAGGATTTTTGTGTCTTTGCATTTACATTTATCTGTATTTATAGTATACCAAGTCATAAATCCAACTCACACAGCTTAGTGATTTAATTAAAATTCACACATTTTAATGCAACACATCAGCGTTAACTTATGGTTGCATGTGGTCCTTTTGACATATTATTACATAAGCAAACATGAAATTTTGTATTGTACTAGCACAACTACAGAAGGACGACAGTAGAACCTGTACTGTACCAGCAGAAGTACTACATACAGCCCACTTTTCTCAACACAGACCTGACATGCATTGTGTTATGTCCTTATTCCATAGGGAAATTTTTTTCAGGGATTTAAGAGTCTTTTGTGCCCCAACTCCCTGGTAAAGCACTGGTCTGGCAGTATTATTGCCTTTAAGTCCACCCTACAGTTATTTAACCTGTCTATTCAGCCAAGCACACTGTCGTTGAAGGCCAGACAGACCACTGCCTTTTGGTGGCCACTATATTCCCTCTTGATCTCTCCAGTCTCCACGCACCACAGACGAGCAAGATTGTCGGAAGAGGCTATGCACAATAACAAAGTAAGGACAAGTTATTAATGCAATGTGTTCACTTCAGTATTGTTAAAATGTGTTGATTTTAGTTCACAGACCTGTCACTATATATTGGGAATCCCCAGAGAAGGCACAGTCCCACATCCAGCCTCTAGATGTCTCACCAGGGTTGTTGCTCTTGATACTTAACTCAGTCATAAGAGAGAAATTAGAAGTCCTCCAGATTTTACATGTCTGGTCAGCTGAACATGTGGCCAATAGACTAGAAGTAAAAAGGGAAGTTTTCTTATGTGCATGTACAAAGACATATCCTTCTAAATAGTTCTACTGTTACTGATGCCATTTACTGATTTATTGTAGACAAGACTTACGTGGAATCAGGGCTAAACTTGCAACGAAGTGAGTAGCGCTTATGTGCAGGAATCTTTGTTTTTGGAATAAGTTGAGTCACCTCATCACCCATGCCTCCAGCAAGGTTCCACACAAAGCAGTTTCCCTGCAAGATGGATAAGAAACCAATGTCATATGAATGTGAACTGATACACAATAGCCTTTTAAAATAAATCATAATAATGAAGGCTGTGTGTCTACCAACCGAGCTGTTAACGGCTGCCATGTAACTAGCATCTGGGTCAATGTGTACAGAGTTTATAGAGACTTCTGGCTCAGGAATTAGCTGTTCATTGTGGTCAGTTTTTAGATCCCATATATGGATTACACCGCTCTGGTCTCCAACAATAAGTTCTGCCTAAAAACAACACAATATTAAGGCTCGGAGAAAACATCAATGACAACAGTAATACAAGAACTAAGATAAAATAAGTTTTCCTTGTACCTGGTTTGGGTGTAGGCACACACAGTTAATAGGGGCATTGACCTGGAATATTCGTTGGCACTGCAAATTTCTGGATCTATCAGAGGAGAATATATTAATAGATATTAATAGAATATATTAATAGTAATTACAAATACAAAAGACACAAAATGATAAATGGAATGAAGAAATGTTATAGTACCTCAAATCCCAGATACGGGCCATGCAATCTTCTCCTCCTGTGTACATCCAACGGCCATCTTCATGAAAACCCACAGAGGTGATGTTTTTGCTGACTCCGTCATAGTTAATCACAGGATTGGGGTTGTTTGAGTTCAAGTCATACATGCGTATGTGCTGGTAGCCTAAACATAAACAGAGGAAATCACACAGAGCGTGATAAAGAAATTATTGTGTACAATGCCATGCAGAGATACCACACATAGCCAACCTGCAGCTGCTATCATACTCCTGTCAGGTGTGACTTCAAGTGAGTTCACTTGCTGAGGACGAGTGTTAAAGAATATAAACAAACGATGTATGGCAACTGTTGAACACTTGGTTATGTGTATAATTCATGACTTTACACGTTACTTGGTATTTAGTTGTCTTAACTGTTGTTGAAGGATACAGAGTCCTGATGCTGTACTGTCCTTGTGCATATTCCACTGTGAGCCTGCCAGAAGCGGACGGTATGATCGTATCCAGCCGTGGCCAAGATGACAGGATCACTGCCTACTGTCCCCTGGTTCACATTCATGTCTGACCCTTGGTTGTCACAGCACAGGTACTCGCATTGACCACGCTGGAATAAAATATCAAAAAGGTATGTCAAGTTTAATGGTTTGCTATATTTGGATGTAGCAACCAAGATTGCACAGTTCCTACTATTTCTGAATCTTTATGCTAAAACATGCATAGCTAACTCATAAATCCGTCTCCGTGTAAGTTTTATTCATAATGCCACGAAATAATAAATCTATACAACAATAAATGATGTTAAGTTCTGAAAACAAACATTAAAAGTGCAAAATAGAAAAATAATCCACTTATTTACCTAGTACAATCAGAAGTGTTCAGTTTACCTTGAAAGGTTTCGATGTTGTCTAAAATGGTACGTCGCTAAAATGTGTCCCGTGTACGTACTGACAATAATTTGAAGGTTCCGCAAAATTTTGGGCCAATACTGCCACCTTGTGGTTACCCTAACATTTGTGTGTCTTTTCAAACGCTCCTTGGATTGACATGACATTTAATTTATACATTATAATATTATGTATAAATTTAAAACAGCCAAGCAGATTTGTGCACTAACAACGAATGCCAGAGGAGAGGTATGAATCCTCCACGACATGATCAAAGACTTGATCGGTGACCATGGTCCTGTGGCGACGTCTGGGCACGCTGTATTTGTTGAACTCAGTGTGCGCGCGCTTTAAAACAGCTGTGCTCCAGGTGAGGCTCGAACTCACAACCTCGGCATCACTCTGCAGGTTACTGTCTTATAAGTACCGCGCGCTGACCGATTGCGCCACTGGAGCTCTGTTTGATTCACGGTCCCTTGTTTTACCAGAAGACAGAGGGTATGCAAAAGAGCTTCCATCGGTAGGATGGTTTATAGGCTTTAAGTACACAGCAGAATAAATACAATGTTTACAGAATAATAAATAACAATATAAAAATAATGCAATAATAAACAACAAACAATAATAAATTACATCATAGCCAACATCAATATTAAATTGAGTACATCTTTAACAATCAGTCTTGAAAGTCAATTGGAAGTATAAGAATTTTTTTTTTTTTTAGGTATGTAGATAATAAATACAGCCACCACATTTTACAATCATCTTCAGAGCTCCTCCATATTGCTTAGTCACTTTCTTTGCAGTAGAGCAGACATGTGCTGCTTCACCTCTCCTGGATCGGCCAGTGAGCACCCCAGGATTACGCCCTTGGCCCCAGGTCTCATCTTATTGGGGGGAAGCATCTGTAAAAATCTATGGGTTGATCTCTTTCGCTTTTTCTGTATGACAAAACAGGAGTTGCACCTACCTTTACGTATATTTTGCATCTTTCCAAGAGAAATCTCCACTTCAAAGCTGTCCGTTCATTGTCAGTCAGATGTGTAAACTCTTCTGGCTGTACATTGACAGTAATTGTTACCCAGAGATATTAGTTATTTTGTAAATTTATGCAGTGACCTCTATGCCCAAATTATGTTTCATAATCAACTGTAAATGAACCATTAACATAACAACCATTAACATAATAACCATAAATGCTGATGAGCAATGGGAAAAAGAGCTAGAGAATAAAGCTCTTATAATACATAGAGATTCATAATGTTTTGTTCTTCATTTGACTTTTATGATGTTTTATGATGTTTGTATTTTTATGGCTTTGTATTATAAGACTTGGAGATTTTTATGTACTTAAGGAAAGCACTTCAAAGGTTCAGTTGTTAAGTGCTGTATAAATAAAGTGCTGTATGTTGATGACATGTTTTTTATTGTTTGTGTTCCGGTTTCTTATTTGTTTCCCAGTATAGCCGGTAGTGACAGTGATACTTACAGTGCAGTCCAATATCTTTTCCGCCACTGGACTTCTGAAGATGCATCCATGCAGAGTACCAGAGTGGTCTGAGACATCCACGAGCAGGTCAAAGACGGCAGCACCAGAAAAACCCTGCTCTCTTCCTGGACACATCTCATTGGTACAGCTCTGCCTGTCTGCAGACGCCTGGAATTTACATCTAGTGCTGCAAAAGGAAAATTACTGTTCATTCATAACATTTTAAGTTGGATAAATGAGAGCAGTGGAGTTCTAGTCCAAACTGCTCAGAGTTTTACCATCGTGTCCTAATGACTTTGGAAACAGAAGAGTCGACATCCAGTTTAGAGATGAAGCTGTAAGTGACGCCAAAGAAAGGCTCGGATTCACCCAGTGTCTTTTGCTTGAGCTGGTTCACGGTGTATACGTCAGTAATGGACTCAACTGTAATGACAACACATTAAATTTGTCTGTAGTATTTCTGGGGTAATTATTTTATATATATATATATATATTATATTTAATACTTATTTGATATCAGAGTCCCCTTCTGTCAAATGTTAAGTTGTTTCAGAAGTGAACCAAAGCAAGGGTTTCAAACATTTTGATAGTGGAGACTGCTTATCGGACAGACAAAATCCCCAAAATCCCATACTATTTACAACTATAGTGTCACAATAAATTTATGTTCAGACCTAATGTAATTTAAGTGACCTCAAATTTCTCAAAATTTTGGGGGAGGCTCCATTCCTGAATACATGGCCCGGTGTCCCGGGACTAAGGAGTATAGTGAATATAGGGCAGAGGTATGGTAGCCTAGTGGGATACTATAAAATGTTGGTATGAAATGCTTTTACTGTAATAAAGCTGTATTCATTTTCCAGCACACACCAGGCATATCTTCTGACTTCTCCTCCTCATCCAGTCCTCCAGCCTCTGAGACCTCTTTGGCGTAGCTGAACAGCAGGCTGGCCTCTCTGGTATCTAGAGAAATGTAACAAAAGCTTAACGCACTGGAAATCTGCCAACCACTCAGCTGGAAGAAACTATTTACAAGAAACACATCTATCAAAACTTGGTAAATGTTATGGATATTTCCTTACCTGGATTGACGGTGATAATGGTCTTGCAGTTAACAGTGGCTACCATAGCGTTTCGAAAACTGTCAAAGCTAATCTTCACATCAGCTATGAAGAGCACTTTGAGTGAAAGATAAAGTTAAAACAACATTTAGTTACATCTCAGATATCGTTTTCATGCTTCTCATTGGCCTCCTGTGTTAATGTGATAAGACAGGCCAGAATAACAGTTGAATAAAGATTGGTTTTGTGGTGGAGAAGGAGTAGCAGCTGTTAACCTACCCGTCTCTTTGGGCACTAGCGTTTGTGCGAGGAGAATGGCCTCTCTGTCCCAGCTGTGAGTGAAACAGGGGTCAAAAAGTGACTCAGGGGAGAGTGGGGTGAAAATCAAACACACATGCACTTCACAGGCTTCATATCAGCACAGTCAATTTGGGGTTGAAGTAAAGATACACAGCGGTGGTCTAAAGGCTAACGGAGTAGAATGTGGCGTAAAAGCAGTGTATCTATAAAAATATGATGCAAATGTATAAATTAGTAAGACACACAGGACAAGAGGAAATGAAGACACAGAGTCGTCAAAGAGCTTGGCTTCCATTCTCTGCCCTCTGCGTCCGTCTGAAGTGGTGAACTGCTTCAGCTCCCCGATCTGAAAACATAAACACAATCATCTCAAACTCAGCTCTTTTCTTAATCAGGACTTTAAGTGCAGGGCCTGGCCTCTAACTGAACTTTATGGCCTTCAGCTTCATTTTGGTTTCTTGGTCAGTATAGAACCACAAGACACTATCTGAAAAGGCATTGCAGTAAAGATAAACATGACTACGACAAATATGGAGAAGTGCTTCATTCAGTAATTATACAGTTTTAAATCAGTCAGGACTGCTGTAGTGGGTTTTGAACATTCATTATTTTGATAGAGAGCTTTTATTTAAATTACTCGATGCTATTTTATAAAGTCTGATGATATTTTTTTTTAAGTTTTTTTAATTTTACGTGTCAGAGAAGTACAAACACAAGTACATAATGCTTAAACTGAAGAATATATCCTGTTTTTGGTACCCCTAACTGCAGAATGCACTTGGATGCCAAGTATAGAGAGTTGTTTTTTGCTCCTGTTATCAAACTTTCAAAATGTGTAAATCCTAACTCCCAAGGTAATCCTGCATAATCCTGGGTTAGGATTAGATGTTAAGGTATTAATTAGGGCTGTAGTCCTTCACTTGATTAATCAGTCGATGGTGTCTTTGTCAAAAATTTGATGATAGAAGAAAGTATAGCGTAAAACACACAATATAAACACACTTTTTCCTAGTACTTTTCTGTATAAATTGTTTTTTTCATAAACTTATCTGCAGTTGTTGTATTCTGAGTGCAGTTACATGTCCAGATAATAAATAGTCTGAAAGCTTTTACCACACCCCCATTTAGTCAACTAATCGATTGGCAGGACAGATCTTCTGGTCAACCAAGAATTTCTCTAGTCGTGAAAGACCTAGTATAATTGTGCAGTTATGAAGCCTAACTCATTCCTAAGATCATTAGTTCATTAAGTAAGTCTCTGATCATGATTTATTAAACTTTTCTGGTGGAGGGTCCATCAAATGCTTTTCTCCATGGTGATGTTATTGGTTTGTCTGGAATGTTCCACAGTATAGTATTAAAAATTTCTATCTTCAAGGAGACCAAATCAGAAAAAGTTACAGGTCAGATCTGTGGAGAGGCGATCCTGTTCACAATCAGAATGTCTGTTTTTCAAGGTATTTTTGAGCTATAAAATCACCTGTAATTGAATAAATGTAAGGTAGAGCTGTTTAAAGTTACACTGTGGAACATATTCCAGGCAAAGCAGTGACATATTCGCAGAAAAAAACACGTGAAGGACCCCCATCAAAAAAGTTACATAGTGCACCTTCAAGGTTATTAAAAGTATAGTTATTATAAAGTGTTACCGACATGTCATACCGATCTTACAGCTGCCAACACATTGACGACAGTGCCATCCAGGGTCTGTCCATTCACCACAATGTCCCCAAGAGAGTAGAAGTCCCGGGGGTCTTTGACTGGCAGGTGGGAGAGAGGCAGCATCCTCTCAATAATGACCATGTCTGCACAATTCAAAACCTGTGAGTGGGCCTCTGTCACAGTCAGTTTGAATGTGCTGCGAAAATAAGTAAAAGAATAAATTTACCACATTTTATCAAACGGACTGAAGTGTACTTCCAGTTACTTCCTTCTCTGTACCTTGGAGTTTTGGGACAGTATTTTTCATCTTTCTCTGGGTCTTTGTAAGTGATTAAGGGATTATCTATTGTCACTGTAAGAAAAAAAAGTATTAATATTTGAAGTAATTGAAAGTGAATGTCAATGATACATTTTCTTACCACAGTCTCTAATAGAAAAGCTGTTGGTAAGGCTGTTTATGTATATTTCACTTCCCCAGGCATTCACGTTGATGAAGAAGTCGGGAGAGTCTCTGATTGTGAATCCAAAAGTGTGTCTTTCTTCACCGATATCTAAAAAATACTCAAGCAATTCCAGTAAAGCACAGTCCCTACACCCCTC